TTTGACATCTCCTGCAAACGCCGACGTTTTCGCCTTTCTCCTTTGGCCTAATCACCCAGAGAAACGAAACTCCTCTGTTTCTCAGAGCCGTTGCTATGCTCTCGACTTGATTCTCCGACGATTTGAGCAAACTTCCGAAAGATATGTAAACAACAGAAGACCTACCTTGCTTGTCAAGCCACTCCATGCAATACTCATCCGATTTCCACATATCAAGATTTTTACCACCTAGGGTTTTGTCTTCTTCATCAGCTCCCAACAGAAATGGAGAAACCAAAGGACCAATTGGGATCATGGGTTTTAAATCAGACATCGATTCGATTATCTCTGATTCGAGCTCGTAGAACGAATTAACCAAAACCCATTTCACATCTTTCAAGCAATCGACGAACTCCACCATTAGGCTATTGAAATGACTTCCTGAAGAAGGCAAGAGAAACGAAGGGAGATCTCCAACTTCCAACAATGGTAAACCTGGCAATTCAACCGTTTGATTCAAATCTTCGAGATTCTCAGGGAAAGCATTCGTCTTCATGTAGTAACGGTAATAAACCGAGAAAGCTCCACAAGCTTCGATCCAGAGGATTGCACAAGGGATGTTATATGCAGCTGCAACACCTGGAACCCATGGAGCAAAAGGCACAGTGACGATGCAAGAGAATCTCTTTGATTCGACAATTTTCGACAAGTTCTTGGCTCCGACTTTTCTCAACGATGGTATGAGAGAATCTGCGGCTCTTGTGTGGTCTTTAGGCAGACCGTCGGAGAAGAAAGCAAGGTCCACTAGGCTACGGTGATGTTCTTCGTCTGCGGTGGTGGCAGCGGTGAAGAGAAGGTCACGGGTTTTCTCGGTGGTGGCGAGAGTGAAGCGGAGGTTCGGTCGTGAGAGATGTTTGGCGAATTTGAGCATTGGATTAAGATGACCTTGAAATGGTAGTGCTACCAATAGAACATGTGTTTCTTGACCCTCACTATTTCTCATTTCTGCTTTGTTTAGAGGTGTTACTTATTAGATTTGAGTTGTGTATGAGATTGTGTAATTGTGGTGGTATAAATAATAATGGTTGCTTAACGATAGATTTTTGCTTAAAATGAAGTTATTAAGTGAGATTTTGGTAAGAAAAATCTATATATAGTAAAAATTGGTAACCCAATAAAATGCTGTTGAATAGATTCAAAAGTTACCACGTTTATTAGCAGCACCGCGCGCCTTGTCCTTAACTCAATTCAAATTTTGTTTAATTGTTGACAAACTAACACGATTTCCATACCAATTCTAGTATGGTTAAAGTCAACAGTCATTACCAATCATTTATGATTTTTTTGTATAGTGTGACACTTGGATCATTATAATTTTTTTAATGAATATCTATCAACTGTGCTAAGTGCTAACCCAATAAACGTTGGTCAAGAAATTCAAATTTAATCATGTGTTTCTATGCTTTTGTAAATAAATAAAATATGTATTCTTAATTGTTTAATGGTTATGGTTAGATATATAAAAAAAGCAGGTTGACAAAAAAGAAAAAAATAGACAGATCTCAATTTATTCGGATCCGTCTCGTTTTATCTGTCCCACTTACATTTCAAATCCGTTCCATATAGTTTTTGGAACTAACAGAGTAATCGGTTTATACACGCCAAAATTCTTATAATAATTAGGAATACCTTATTAATCTATTTAGAATAATTTATAATATTTTTGCTTTTTTCTTTTTAATAAGATATTCCTAATTATTTTTGTTGTAAATATACTTTGTAAAAAACACTTTCTTAACTAATTAACTTGTCCGTGCCTGACTGAATTTTTTTTTTAAAATGTAATAGTAGTTTGGTTTATTTTTAATTGAGTATGCATTTTATTGTTTGTAGACGATTGTAATAACACAGTAAAAAAGAGTAGAAAAATGCATGTTAATATCAAAATAATTTTGTCTAAATTGTTTCAAAATCTTTGGGTCATTGTTTTACGTATTTTAGACATGATTTGTTTGTGTTATTCAGAGTTTATTTTTAGTTCCAATAAGCTTAGTGGTAACTTTCCAATTTCCCTTCTAAATTTGACAGAGTTGTCGTATTTATCACTCACTTCCAATCAACTCACAGGAACGCTTCCCTCAAACATTAGCTCACTCTCCAACTTGCGAGATTTTTGGGCATATGACAACGATTTCGTTGGAACCATTCCTTCTTCTCTCTTCACCATTCCTTCTTTGAAAGATATCAGTTTGTCAAATAACCAACTCGACAGCCTTCTTGAGTTTGGGAATATATCGAAGCTAGAGTGGTTATATGTTGACGGTAACAACTTGAGAGGGCCAATTCCGAGATCTGTTTCCAAATTAGTCAACCTCAGGGGACTTGACCTTTCCAACTGGAACACTCAAGGCCCCTTTGACTTGAGTATCTTCTCGCATCTCAAGTCGCTCCGAGATCTTACCTTATCCCATTTGAACACCACCACTACGATTGACTTGAATTCCATCTTATCATGTTCTCAGAGGCTGGAAACATTGGATCTCTCAGGGAGCCATGTTTCAGCCAAAACCAAGAGCTCAGTTTCAGATCCTCCTTCGCAAATGATAAGTAAGTTAACCTTGTCAGGCTGCGGTGTTACCGAATTTCCAAAGATCATAAGAACCCTGCATTCAATGATTTATCTAGACATTTCCAACAACAACATCAAAGGTCAAGTGCCTGGCTGGTTATGGACACTACCAAATCTGACATACGTGAATCTTTCCAACAACACTTTCATCAGTTTCGAAATACCAACGAAACAAGGACTATCCTCTGCCATGCGGTTCTTGTTTGGCTCCAAAAACAATTTCACTGGAAAGATTCCCTCCTTCATATGCGCGTTGGGCTCTCTAATCATTCTCGATTTATCTGAAAACAACTTCAATGGTTCAATCCCTCTTTGTATGGAGAATCTCAAGAGTAATCTTTGGGTTCTAAACCTCCGTCATAATCGTCTTAGTGGAGGCCTTCCCGAGAATGTATTTGAACGTCTACGGTCGCTTGACGTTGGTTATAACCAACTGGTGGGAAAGCTTCCAAGATCTTTGATCCATTTCTCTGCCCTTGAAGTTCTAAATCTGGAAAGCAACAGATTCAACGACACATTTCCGTTCTGGTTGAGTTCTCTACCAAAGCTGCAAGTTCTTGTCTTACGCTCCAATGCATTCCATGGATCGATACATCGAGCCTCCTTCCTTCAGTTAAAAATCATGGATATCTCGCATAATCACTTCAACGGAGTTTTACCATCGGATTACTTTGTGAACTGGAGTAAAATGTCATCACTTGGGACAGAAAAAGATCGGTCGGATGTAAACTACATGGGAGAAGGTACCTATTACGAAGATTCAATGGTTTTGATGAATAAAGGTGTAGCATTAGAGCTGGTACGTATCCTGAAAATCTTCACAGCACTCGACTTCTCCGGAAATAGATTTGAAGGAGAAATTCCAAGGTCCATCGGCCTATTGAGAGAGCTTCATGTGCTCAACTTGTCAAACAATGCTTTCACTGGCCACATACCATCATCTATGGGTAACCTGACAGCTCTCGAGTCACTTGACGTTTCTCAAAACAAGCTTTCAGGAGTGATCCCACAAGAGCTAGGGAATCTCTCGTACCTTGCGTACATGAACTTCTCCCATAACCAGCTTGTCGGTCTTGTACCTGGAGGCACTCAGTTTCGAACGCAGTCTTGCTCTTCCTTCGAAGACAACTCGGGACTTTTTGGCCCTTCTCTTGACGAAGTTTGCAAAGATATACACAAGACATCATCGCAAGAGTATGAAACACCGGAGGAGGCAGAGGACGAAGATGAAGAGGTGTTTAGTTGGATTGCAGCTGCAATAGGATTTGGACCTGGCATTGTATTAGGATTGACGATTGGATACATATTGGCCTTCTACAAACCGAGGTGGTTCACGAGTTCTTTTGGTCGAAACAAACGCAGAAGCAGAAGCACCACAACTCATTAAGAGAGGTAATGTTTTGAATTTGATAGAATAAAGACTTTATATTATAACTGAAATTTCTGGATGAATTAATACGTGGAATTAACGTTTTAAGTTAATTTCGTTTGTATAGCCTTCTTGGACCCAATATGAAGAATCTTTGGAAAAGATAATGAAGCAACCAAACCAAAGGACTGTAGAGAAGAAAGCTTGAGGAGAAGGCAACCCATTTATCAGTTATTTTTTTCGGTTTAATGTGTGTGTTTCTCGTTTACTCTGTTTTTAGCTAATGTTTGTATATTTCTGTATTTGAACAATGAACTACTCTGTTTTCAAAGCTCAAACCTATTCCTATGTTTTGAGAGAGGTAGTAATGTTATTTCTCTGACTATGTCCAAGTGATTAAATCAATCTCTCTTTTTAATGGTCCTTGTTACAGTGTGTTCATTCCTTTTTTTTCAGAGTTTAGAGTTTTCATTGGGAACTAGAATTTAGAAACCATCTCTTTTGGTTTCATTAAAAAACACAAAGACACCATCTCTATTGGTTCGAGATTCCAAACTATTACTATTACTAAACTTATGTTTTAATAAACTTGTGTTACTATTACTCTCTATTGATTCGAGATTCCAAACTATTACTCCCTATTAATATCTCCAGTATTATCTTCGATTCTTCCAAAACAAAGAGATCAGGAAATGGAAATCCAAGGTCTCCATTGCTAGGTTTGACAATCATTAGCGTCGGGCTAAAGAAATCAAAACCAGATCTCCTAAACCTATCAGTCAATATACAAAGAGTATTTGCGGGAACCTAACCGTATATTTAAGCTTTTGGACCAGAAAGTAAAGAAAGCAATGGAGAAAGAGAACCAGAAGCAGTTCGTGTTCGTACCACTTCCAATGGACAAGAAGCTTTAGCGAGGAAGGTATGGATCCGTTACTTGTATATATATATCGCGTATGCAGAGAGGATCTAACGTTACCTGAGGATTACCAGCTTTGGATGATTAGCAACTTTCCACCTAAAGAAGTTATGGAGATCAAAGATGCAGATCATATGGCAATGTTCTCTAAGCCTCAAGAACTCTGTGCTATCCCCTTAGAGATTGCGGACAAGTATGCTTAAAATAAACTTGAGATCTTCAACTACAATAATAAGCTAGATATGAGTGATTTGGGTGGACTACATTAATAGAAAATTATATGAATAAGAAGAGGATAACATCATTACCTGAAGATTTCCATTGTAAATTAATAAAGATGCAGATTATATGCCCATAAATAAGGAAAGATGGTAGTGATCTGCAATATATGTATATAAGCAGGTGAAAACACATATGAGATGAATAAGCAAAGAAAAACTGAACAAAAAGACATATCATACGATATCTCTAAGTCAAATGATCACTGAAACCAACTTTTATAGAGTATTTCTATATGCAACAAATCTGAACATTGGATAGAGTATAGTTATAAACCCTCTCGCTTTCTCTAACTTCCTCTACCATAACAACCAGAGAGGAGAACACCGTGAACTTTAACATTCAATGAGAAAAGATACAATCACAATCCTGTTGTGGTCAATTTGACGACAGTCCTTATTTCTTATTCAAGACAGAGCAAAAAGAAACACAAAGATCCCAAACTTGTGAACCAATCATAGAAGAACCAGCATCACCAGACCCGGCGTATGCTGATATTGAGGACTAAGATGAAATTTTCTATAATAAGAGATGGTGGTAAATCAATGGATTCTTGAAACAATAAAGATTTAATTCCTACCACCATACTCAACAAGGAAACTGATACATCAAAAGATTTGGTAGCATGAGTGTAGGAACTAAATATTTATTTTCCCAAAGATCTTTTGATATACCACCTTCAATATTGTAGAAATTTCGTCGTTACTGTTCCAAAACAATCTTCAATACCAGCACATCCCAGTCTCTGTGATGCTGGGTCTTCAATAACTGATTTGTTGTTCTGGAATCTTTGTTCCTCTTCTTACTCTTTGTCCTGAGTAAGAAATAAAGAATACTCCGAGGATTACCAGCATTCGATGATCAGCAATTTCCATGTAAAAGAAGTAATGTAGATCAGAGAGGCAGATAATATAGCAATGATCTATAAATACAAGATTGAAATGAGTGGTCTTTCTATGGAACTATTTATCTCAAGGCAGCTCCTATCAAAATATCACACAGAAACATGCAGAGCATTTTCTATTTGCAAAAAAAAAAAAAAAGAAACCTGAAAACTGTGTAAAGAAGCAATTCCTCAGAGACATGATTTTAAGCTTCATGATAGCTGGTAGAGACACCACAGGCTCTGCTCTCACTTGGTTCTTCTGGCTTCTTTCCAAGAACCCACAAGAAACGGCCAAGATTCGCCAAGAAATCAACACAAAGCTATCTCCAAGAACCAATGATGGTTCTGAAATTGATTCATTCAATCACCAAGAGTTAAGCAAGTTGGTTTATTTGCATGGCGCGTTGTATGAAGCCCTCAGGCTATATCCACCAGTTCCTTTTCAGCACAAGTCTCCAACAAAACCGGACGTTCTTCCAAGCGGACACAGAGTCGATGCGAGTTCGAAGATTGTGTTCTGTCTTTACTCATTAGGGAGAATGAAAACGGTTTGGGGAGAAGATGCAGCAGAATTTAAACCGGAGAGATGGATTTCAGAGAGTGGAAGGTCGATACATGTGCCATCTTTTAAGTTCTTATCATTCAACGCCGGTCCAAGGACTTGTTTGGGGAAAGATGTGGCTATGACGCAGATGAAGGCAGTGGCCGTGAAAATCATACAAAACTATGAGATAAAGGTCGTTAAAGGGCACAAGATTGAGCCAGTTCCTTCTGTTATACTTCACATGAAGCAGGGTCTTAAAGTCATGGTCACTAAGAGATGTAATTTAGACTGAATGTTATGCAAAAATTTATAAATATAAGCTTGGAAATAATGATTAGAACTCGTGACAAAAGAAAAAAAATAGAACTCGTGACAACTATTGTGACACGTTATCAGAAGAAGTATTGTGAGATATTCTGATACAAAAAAAAAAGTATTTAGAGATATTTTCTATGTTTTAGTTAATACGTAATACACGCTAATTTTGTTTTTATCATTTTCTAAATAGATTTTTTTTGTCAACATCAAATAAAACTATTCATAAAGCCTTATAAGTTTATGTCTTCTCATTTTCTTTCTTTTAAATATATCTACTGATCAACATATTTGATTTACTAAGGTTATTTTCTTATAACTTGTCTCAGACTCTGAAAATACCATGAATTTGAATTCAAAACATTGATTTTGACACGTTTCGACATTTCATAAGTTATAAAACTGTCACATACTCACATGGTTTTTGTGATATGCTTACAACTAATAAGTGTCTTTGGTACTATTTTTTTTTCAATTTTTAGTTCTACCAATTTTTATTATTTTTACGATAAAAGTTATCATTTTAAAAGTATGTTAATTGTCATTAGTTCAGTGCTTTATATATAAAGGATTTCATTGGTTCGTGTGTTTTAAATAATATCGATATCCAATCAAAATCTTGTTCATTGGATTATTGATGTAAGAATTATCGTCAATATCTTATATTATTAGTTTAACAATTTTTATATACTTGTTGAAATCTGGTGTCTTTAAATCAACACATCGACATTCGACAACAACAAGGAAAACAAATTTTCTAAGATCTAATGGATCATTTTTTCCTAATAATTTTATCTTTTTTGGTCTTCTCCATCTTTTCACTAAAACGTTTGATCGATAGATGGCCGAGCAAGTTTAACTTACCTCCAACTCCAGCTCTGTCACTGCCGGTGATTGGACACCTCCTCCTCCTCAAACCACCGCTCCACCGCACATTACATTCTTTTTCTCAGTCTCTTGGTGGTGCTCCAATTTTCCAACTCCGCCTTGGCAATCGTGTTGCATTTGTTGTCTCAACCCTCTCCCTCCCTGAAGAATGTTTTACCAAAAACGACATCGTTTTAGCCGATCGACCAAAATTCACTTTTGGGAGACTCGTTGAGTACAATTGCACCACTATGGCCACTACATCTTATGGTGACCATTGGAGGAATTTGCGCCGTATTGGTGCCATCGAGATCTTCTCGTCTCATAGACTCGATAGCTTTTTATCCGTCCGTAAGGATGAGATCCGACACTTGATATCGTGTCTCTCCAAAAATTCCTTACATGTAAGTGAAATACATATCTACACTACCAAAATAATGCATATAACCACAAATTAATTACGGATTTTATGTGACTATTTTTTAAAATCAGGAAAAAGTCAAGAAAAAGCCATTTTAGTAAATATTACATCAATAATAAATTTGAACCTAATTTGATGTACGTATATATTTGTCATTTCAAGATTTATAGTTGTCTGCTCAAAACCGTTTTGCAATTTAGTACATATAGATTAGATTCAAATTTATTATTGATGTGATATTAATAATACGCTTCTTCGAAATTATTGTGTTTTTATTATTATCTCAAACCGAAACTCACTTATGATTTGACAACTGATTTCTAACACAGTTTCAAGATTCATGGATTTCCAATAGAAAAAGCTGTCAATGATTGGACTTGTCTACGCTATTTATATATTAGAGTATATATTTTTTAATCAATATGTGAGTATATCTTATATTTATTGATGCGGTAATGTTAACAGATTTCAATGCCTAACCATATTTTCATGTCATAATAATTTCAGGGGTTTGCAAAGGTGGAGCTGAGATCATTGTTTGGGAACTTTAATATCAATAACATCCTGAGGATGATAGCCGGAAAACGATTCTTCGGAGACGGAGCAGAGCAAGACGACGATGCAAAACGCGTGAGGCAGTTGCTTGACGAAGCTGTATCTAGTGCTGGTGTCGGACACGCTTCTGACTATGTTCCGCTCCTCTGTTGGTTTACTAATTATGAGAAAGGGGTCAAGAAGTTGGCGGTTCGGGTCGATGAGTTTCTTCAAGGACTAGTTGATGAGAAACGTGCACAAAAAGAAAAGGGTAACACTATGATCGATCACTTGCTTTCTCTCCCAGAAACTCAACCTGATTACTATACGGACGTCACCGTCAAAGGACTCATAGTTGTAAGTATTGAGGAACCTAATTAATACATAATTAACAACACTAATTAATTAAGGATTATATCATGGCTAATTCTTGCCTTTTATTTGGATAGGTTATGATATTCGAGGGAAATGTAACATTAACAAGGACGTTAGAATGGGCGATGCTATATCTGTTGAACCATCCAGAAGTACTAAAGAAAGCGAGGATCGAAATCGATACAAACATTGGTTTAGACAGGTTAATGATATATCATGGTTTTTATGGTTTTTAACCATGGTATAAGTCCTATTTATAGAGTCTTTTTAGTGTCTTTCGAGTTTTTTGGAGTCTTTTCAGGTCATAGGTACGTTTGGAGCTTAACTGGAGACTTTGGAGCAATTTGGAGCTTAATCAAGATCAAGTTCGTCAAGTATGGATTTTGTGCTTTAGTGACGCTCGACACCATGGAGGGTGACGCGCGACACTTGTCAGAGAAATAAGGAAAAGGCGATTTTGTTTCCTATTCGAAGAAGGAGTTGGGCCCAAACGTTTTCAAGGAAGCCCAAAACGTGTCTTAGAGATATATATAGGATTTTTATTCTCTTTTTACGTTCACCTTAGATTTTTGAGAGAGAGATACTCTGAGCTTTCGGCTTTTGCGATTTCTGAGCTTGGGGAGACAAGTCTGTACTCTGTTCGTTTAGAGAGAAGATTTCGAACCCCTTTATCTATTTCGATTTATTCTATTGCTTTCTATTCATCATGTTTGTTGTTTCAATAACCATGTCTGAGTAGATCACCTGTTAGGTTTAGGGTTTAATTAGGGTTTTCTTTGAATGTTTAATTAACTTGCTAGTTAGGGTTCATATCTATTTGTTCTTCACCTTAGGTTGTTCTTAAAGCTAATTCTGGACTGATCACCTGGAACTTAGATCTTAGGTTGCTTAATTGACACGGAAGTGTAATTGAATAACTGGATCGAACCTGAGTTGAGCAAAGTAGCTATTCGCAAAGGAATTTGGTTTAGCCGCTTTGTGAACATATCGAACTTGTGCAATTAAGGCTGGTTTAAATCTGTAGAGTTTGCAAAGGAATTTGGAATTCTAGGATTTTAACTTAGATAATTCTCACAACGGAAGTTGGTTAATTATAGTTCTGTGTTTCGAGTTCAAGAACCGTGCTTAATACCTGAACCCTGACTTGTTAAATTAATTTGCATTCATTGATCTCCTGAAAATTACCCTAGACCTATCCTTCATCACATCGAATTTAACTCTATTTTTACTGCTGTTTAATTCACTTTCGTCGCATTGCTATTTACTTCCATTATTTCGGCTTAGCGTAACTCTATCTACATAAGGTTTATTGAGTGATCTCTTGTCTCTGTGGTTCGACCCCTAGATACTACAACTGTACATCTGTGCTCTTGCAGAGTAGCTTAGGGATTAAACTTTGAGCATATCAAGTTTTGGCGCCGTTGCCGGGGACTTGATTTCGCCATTAAACCTAGTTTTTGAGTTTCGACTAAGTTTTTCGACTTAGTGTCGAGCGACACCACTTGTGGTGTCGCGCGACACCTTTCTTTTTATAACCTAGTTTACTTATTTCGTTTTCTCTCTTTGTTTTTGGTGTTTCAGATTTATGCATACTCGTGGAACCAGAAGCAACAAGGACATCCCGCTAGTGAATTTGAGCAACGAAGAGCTAGCTGAGTTAGAGCGAACGAACAGGAAAGCAAGAGATCCGACAATGATGGAAAACGCCAATGGACTTGTTCGTGATGATGATGGGATTTGGAGAGACCGAGAAGGTCATGTGTGCAATGCGAGAGGCCAAAGGCTTGATGGAGATGGTAACATCATTCCACCAGCACCTCTACCAGTGGATGTTGTTGACCAGAATCCACCACCTGCACCGCGTGGGAATGCTGTGATCGTTCCACAACAGAGGAACGTTCTAGAAGATCGGAATGTGAGGGAACCTGCACCTGCAGTTGGACGTGGACGAACACTTGGAGACTACAACAGGCCTGAGCAGTTCTATGCAAATCGTTCTGCGATTCGCGCTCCTGCGTTTCAAAGAAACGATTTTGAGCTGAAGCCTGTGTACTACACTCTTGTGGGTCAGCATCCTTTCCATGGCCACTCTCATGAGCACCCGATGGACCACATCGAGAGGTTTGAAGACTTGGTCACCAGCATCAAATACAATGGAGTGTCCAATGATTTCCTCCTCTGCAAGTTGTTTCCTTACTCTCTTGCTGGAGAAGCAGCTAACTGGTTGAAGCAGTTGGAGCCAGGATCGCTCACCACTTGGGAAGAGACCAGGAACGCCTTCCTGCATAACTTCTTCGACGATGCTAGGTCTGAGGAGTTGAGGACGAAAATCTCGACTTTCTCTCAGGAACCTACTGAAGCGTTCAAAGCTTCTTGGGTGCGATTCAAATCGTACCAGCGAGACTGCCCTCACCATGGCTTCAGCGATGTGCAGTTGCTGGGTATCTTTTTCAGAGGTATCGACTGGAGGTATCAGATGGCACTTGATGCAGCAAGCAATGGTAACTTCAACACCAGATACCCAGAAGAAGCTGTTGAGCTCATCGAAAATTTGGCATCCAGCAACAGCACCAAGAATGCTGATCTTGAGCGAAAGAAGCAAGCTGGGAACATGGATAGATCGCAGATCGCTGAAGTGGAGGCTAAACTTGATTCTGTGCACAGCCTTTTAGTGGGCAAGAAATCGGTCAGATTCGCACAGGAGGTGGAGAGTTTCGAACCTGAGGATGCAGTTGAGGAAGAGGATGTCAACTTTGTCAGTGGATCAGGATTTCAGGGTCAGAGGTTTGGTAATCAGCAAGGTAACAGAAGCTACAGTGGAAATTACAGTGGAAACAATCAGAGGAGTACCTTCAACAGTAATCAGAACTTCTCTGGTTACACGCCTAAGCCTCAGTACCAGAAACCTTTTTCCAGCAACAGTCTTTCCAGAAACTACAGCACTCCTTCATCTCAACCTCAAAATCCTGACAATGAGATGAAGTCTATGCTGGAACAGATTCTGGAAGGTCAGCAGAAGCTCACCGTGGACTTTAATGGGAAGATGGATGCTCTCTACCTTGATCTGAATGGAAAAATCGAAGCTCTGAACACCCATGTCAAGCAGCTCGATACACAGGTAGCCCAAACTGCAGGTTCTGTTAAAAGGCAAGAGGGTTTTCTTCCTGGGAAGACTGACACCAATCCAAGGCATCACTGCAGTGCTATCACGTTGAGGAGTGGTAAAAATCTGAGTTCTGAGTCCAAGAAGACGCCTCCTGCACCTGAAGTCGTGGACTTAGAAGATTCTGAAGCAGTTCCTGAGATTGCAGAGCCGGTGACGAGCGACACCACCACTAGTGTCGCGCGTCACCAATTGCAGAGCGAAGCTGTTGATGTTCCGAATCCGAAATCTGCAGAGGAGAAAGTCTACAAACCTAAAGTTCCTTACCCAAGGAGCCCTAGGAAGTCCAAGCAAGAACTTGATGATGCACGATGCAAAGCTCTGATGGAAAAGCTTGTGATTGAGATACCTTTGGTTGATGCTGTAAAAATCACTCCTGTTATCAGACGTTATGTGAAGCGAATGGTAACCAATAATCTCAGCCATGAACAAGGGGTGATGATGATATATGAGCAAGTCAGTGCAGTGATTCAGAACCGAATTCCAGAGAAGTTGTCTGATCCAGGAAGCTTTGTCTTGGATTGCTCTATCTTCACAGAGAGATTCAAGAGATCGCTGTGTGATCTGGGTTCAAGTGTCAACCTCATGCCCTATTCGGTAGCTGTCAATCTCGGCATGACTGATTTCAAGCCAACAAGGATCTCCCTCATCCTAGCTGATCGTTCGACAAGGATACTTGAAGGGGTGCTAGAAGATGTTCCAATCAAGGTTGGAGACTGCATGATACCGACTGACTTTGTGGTTTTGGAATATGGAGAGGAGCCTAAAGATCCTCTTATCCTTGGGAGACCTTTTCTAGCTACAGCAGGTGCTATCATCGATGTCAGGAAAGGCAGGATTGCTCTGAATGTTGGAGTTCTGGTGATGAACTTTGACATGGACAAGCTGATGAAGAAGCCCACAATCGATGGTCAGACCTTCTATGTCGATACTCTCACAGAGTTTGCTGAGGAGTTTCTCCATGAGATGCTGCCTACAGACCCACTTGAGAGAGCTCTGACCACGTCTGCCTCTGAGGCTGAACACTTGGACGAAATTTCAGCATCTTACTCGAAGATGTTGGACTCCAGCGAGCATGTGATGCAGCTAGCATCGCAGATTGAACAGCTTGAGACTCCTGCGAAGGTGAAGCAGTTATCCGACTGGAGTGAGGAGAAAGCTCCTAAGATTGAGTTCAAACAACTCCCTGCAGGACTAAGGTACGCATTCCTGGGCTCTAATTCTACTTATCCAGTCATTATCGATTCTTCTCTGAACAATGCTGAGGTTACCTTACTACTGAGCAAGCTGCGCAAGCATCACAAAGCTTTTGGCTATTCTCTTGATGATATTTCAGGTATCTCACCAGACTTGTGCATGCACCGAATCCACCTGGAGGATGAGTCGAAATCGTCGATTGAACACCAGCGCAGGTTGAACCCTAACCTGAAAGACGTCGTCAAAAAGGAGATCATGAAGCTGCTGGAAGCTGGAATCATTTACCCAATTTCAGATAGTGCTTGGGTGAGTCCTGTGCACGTGGTTCCTAAGAAAGGAGGAGTTACAGTTGTGAAGAATGACAAGGATGAGCTGATTCCAACGCGCACAGTGACTGGACACAGGATGTGCATCGATTACAGGAAGCTGAATGCAGCAACCAGGAAAGATCACTTCCCATTGCCCTTTATCGATCAGATGCTGGAGAGACTTGCAAGCCATCCCTACTACTGCTTCCTCGACAGGATTTTTCCAGATCCCTATCCACCCAGACGATCAGAAGAAGACCACCTTTACATGTCCATACGGCACTTTTGCATATCGCAGGATGTCCTTTGGACTCTGTAATGCTCCTGCGACGTTTCAGAGATGTATGATGTCCATCTTCACTGATATGATCGAGGATTTCATGGAAGTCTTTATGGATGATTTCTCAGTTTACGGATCATCTTTTAAAGACTGTCTGGATAATCTCTGCAAAGTTCTGGCTCGCTGTGAAGAGAAACACTTGGTCCTTAACTGGGAAAATTGTCACTTTATGGTCAGAGATGGGATTGTGCTTGGGCACAAGGTTTCTGCAGCTGGTATCGAAGTGGATCGTGCGAAGATCGACGTCATGACGAGCTTGCCACCACCTGATTCTGCGAAATCGGTTAGAAGTTTTCTGGGTCATGCAGGTTTCTATTGTCGCTTCATCAAAGATTTCAGCAAGATTGCACGTCCTCTTACTGCTCTGCTCTGCAAATGCTAAGTTTGAGTTTACAGATGAGTGCCTTGCTGCGTTCGAACAGATCAAGTATGCCCTGATAAGCGCCCCTATCGTGCAGCCTCCTGACTGGAATTTGCCTTTTGAGGTGATGTGTGATGCTAGTGATTTTGCTCTTGATGATGATGCTCAAAAGAATTATGCTACTACTGAGAAAGAGCTGTTGGCTGTGGTCTTTGCTTTTGAGAAATTTCGGCCATACCTTGTGGGACCGAAGGTGATTGTGCACACAGACCATTCTGCACTCAAATACTTGATGCAGAAGAAGGATGCGAAGCCAAGGTTGCTGCGATGGGTATTACTCCTTCAGAAATTCGATATTGAGGTCAAGGACAAGAAGGGGGTTGAGAATGGTGTGGCAGATCATCTCTCACGCATCAGGGTTGAAGACGACGTACCCATAGACGATTTCCTGCCAGAAGAGAATGTGTATTATGTGGAAACCAAGTTCCAGAGCAGTTTTGACGAAGAATTGCAGGTTTTTCGAATTGGAGGAACGTTAGTGACGAGCGACACCACCACTAGTGTCGCGCGTCACCTTACTCAGGCGAACACAGAAACCCTCCCAAATTCGAAGCAGACTTCCTGAGATCAGTTCAGCTGCTGTATCCGCTACCCAACGTCCCTTGGTATGCTGATATTGCCAATTATCTCGCTGAAGAGGCTGAGCCTGAAAACTTTAAGGGCTATGCAAAGAAGAAGTTCCTGAGAGAGCTGCGAAGATACCACTGGGATGAGCCATATCTGTACAAGCACTGTTCTGATGGGATTTACAGAAGATGCATTGCAGAGTCAGAAGTACCAGATGTGCTGTTTCATTGTCATGGATCCGAATATGCTGGACACTTTGCAACATTCAAAACAGTGTCTAAGGTTCTTCAAGCAGGCTTTTGGTGGCCTACCATGTTTCGCGACGCACATGCATTCATCTCGCAGTGCGATGCTTGTCAGAGGAGAGGAAAGATCAGCAAAAGACATGAGATGCCACAGAATTTCATCCTTGAGGTTGAGGTATTCGATTGCTGGGGTATCGATTTCATGGGTCATTTTCCCTCTTCTTATGGGAACAAGTACATCCTGGTTGCTGTTGATTATGTTTCAAAGTGGGTCGAAGCCATTGCCAGTCCCACCAACGATTCTTCAGTGGTCCTTAAGATGTTCAAGACCATCATCTTTCCTCGATTTGGAGTGCCTCGAATTGTTATAAGTGATGGTGGTTCTCACTTTATTAACAAGATTTTCGAAAAACTCCTAAGGAAGCATGGAGTTCATCATCGAGTTGCCACTCCTTATCACCCTCAGACGAGTGGACAGGTCGAAGTCTCGAATCGACAGATCAAAGAGATTCTGGAGAAGACAGTGGGTAAAACTCGAAAAGATTGGGCTGCGAAGTTGGACGATGCACTCTGGACATACAGGACAGCGTTCAAAACACCTCTAGGCACCACACCTTTCCACCTGCTCTATGGAAAGCCCTGTCACCTTCCAGCGGAGATCGAACACAAGGCAGCCTGGGCGATAAAGCTGATGAATTTCGACATCAAGTCTGCTGCAGAGAGGAGACTGATACAGCTGAATGAGTTGGACGAAATCAGGTACCATGCCTATGAGAATTCGAAGTTATACAAAGAGAGGACCAAGGCGTATCACGATTCCAAAATCCTCTCCAGGCAATTCGAACCGAATGATCAGGTACTTCTGTATAACTCTCGTTTGCAATTGTTTCCTGGTAAACTTCGTTCTCGATGGTCAGGTCCTTTCATAGTCAAAGAGGTTCGCCCCTATGGTGCCATCGTCCTCCTCACACCAGATAGTAGCAGAGAGTTCACAGTCAATGGACAAAGGGTGAAGCACTACTGGGCCAAAGCTGAGATTCCGGATGGACACATCGTGCCTCTGGATGGTGCACCTCCTGCTTGAATCGCCATCAAGTCAAGCTAATGACTTTAAACAAGCGCTTAGTGGAAGGCAATCCACTGGTGAGTCTGTAAATAAGTCTTTTCTTTCAGTTATTTTTGTTTTTCTTTTCGTGTTTTAGGTGAAGCAGAGGCTGGTGTCGAGCGACACTACCTTCGGTGTCGCTTGTCACTTGTTTTTCCCTAAAAAAAAAAAAAAAAAAAAAAAAAAAAAAAAAAAAAAATTAGGACCTAGCTTAACCGGAATTCCAGAACCGGAAGGGAATCGGAAGCAGATCGGGCACGAGGAAAATACCATTCGCACTTTGCAAGTGTCGCGCGTCACCACCCTAGGTGTCGCCCGTCACTCACAAACAGGTAAGTTCTCTTTTTCCCACGTTTATTTAAAACCCTCACCCTCACAGCTTTTTCCTCCTTTCCTCCTCGCCGCACTCGACACTTTCGCCATACCCACCCTCACCAAAACCGAAATTACTCATATCCTCACCGATTTGAGTGATTCCAAAGCCTAACCTCATCAGATTTTCGCCCTCTATATGTTTCTCTCATCGATTTGCCATTCCAACAAGGTACACACTTCGAATCTCCATTTTTCGATTTCGGTGCCTCAGGTTTGTTTGTCGAAATTGCTCTTTTTAGGTTGATGCTTTCCTCGATTTCGCCTATGGCGATCCATTTAGGGCAGATTTCGACCACCCCCATGCGCTTTAAACGGTTCATTTGGCTAGATTTGAGAATTTCGTTCTTCATGCCAATTGCACTTCAAAAATTTGAGAGTGTGAAATTTGTTGTGGTCTTAGGGAGATTTCTGTATGCATGTGTCGCTGGACTCCTCCTTGTCGCTCTTCCGACTTGCTGGAGAACATCACTTGTGCTTTCTTGTTCACTGACTTGAGATTCTTTTCTTTTGTTGGTTTGCTCTGTTTCTTCTTTTGCAGATGCCTCCAGACAAGCGACAATGCAGGGACGCCGCCTCCAGTTCACAACCTCCGGTCGAAGTAACCTTCCAACTCGGAGACCACGTCGAGGTTTTGGATGGTGACTTGTGGCAACGTGCAACCGTGAACGCTGTACTCGCACGATCTCGCTACATGGTCAAATTCCTTGACTCCCAGGAGTTGCAGGTGTTCCCGATTTCCCATCTTCGCCCTGCTGCACCACCACGAGCCTCCGCCTCACCGCCACCATCACCTCCTGCACTCCCTGATTCACCTGACGAGAGGATTAGGCGCCCTTGGCCTAAACGGGAGAATCTGCGCATTCCAACACGCAGGATCTGGGACGAACCACCTCGAGCTGTTGCTGAGAGCGTTGAGTGTCTACACAGGCCAATTTCAGATGACTGGGATGATTACGACACTTTCTTCTACAACGCCTGGCTCAATGTGAAGATACTCCCCACCAGGTTTTTGGACATTCTGGATATGAGGCGTTTGGGTTTGGATTCTGAGCTCCTGCATTTGTTGACGAAGCTTGGATTGGGATCTATGGCTACCAGACCCTACGATCTGTTTCCTGACCTTGTTCGTCAGTTCCTCGCCTCTGTTCGTATCTACTACACCAACAAACATGCTCCGAACGCACAGGAGGGCACTCTGACTTTCATGATCCGCGGGGTTCGTTACAGGCTCTCCTTTCGCGACCTATGTGCATTATATGGGTTTCGCAAGGACCTCCCGAGAGTCACCCTCCCTACTCAGATGTTCGATGTGCAGGATTTCTGGTCCCATTTTGGGAATGGGCGTTATGATTCGAAGACAACGTCCCAGACCGACGTGCGCCACCCTGTTCTGCGATGCCTTCTCCGTGTCTTGGGCAACACTATTCAGTGCAAATCGACTCCGGGTAAGATGCGTCTCTCTGAGTTGGCTCTTCTTTATGTTGGCATTGGTGATTTGACAGATGGTGAGCATTACCGGAGTTCCGCGCACGCTACTGATGTCAACATGGGAGCTGTCTTCGCTCATCACTTGGTTTCTTTGCAAGCCAAGCCTTTCTCTGGAGCAGGTACGACGCAGCGCACTGAGTCTGTTGGTAGCTTGCTGACCCCTATCTTTCAGCATTTTCGGATCAGCACGGAGAACAGTACCATTGTCACGACTCGCCGAGCTATTGATTTGGATCACCTACGCCACGCCTCCTGGATCAACCACAACAATCAGTGGTCCTTTCGCACTGCAGCTGGTTCATACCTGATTCAGCTCCCTGATCGTGCACGCACTGACATAGGCACAACCTGCGCCGCGCTTCGTTTCATGCCAGAGAGGAGAGTCTTGATTACTGTGTCTCGCGGTTCTTCTTCCAGGGCTCGTACTTCCACTTCCGAGGATGACCAGATACCTCGCTCCGCAGACACCACAGTACCTCTCCCTGATCTTCCCACTGAGCCAGAGGTTCCCATGGAGGCTGCTGCTTTCCAGCGGTATGTCATTCAGAGTTTTCAGAGCATTTGGAGTGCCATCGCTACTCTATCTCGCTGCGGATGTGTTCGCACTACTCGCCCACGATCTCGCTCACCCACGCCCTCTGATGATGCTACTACTAGCGATGAGGACTAGTTCCTTTGTCATTCTGGTTCTGTTTTCTTTTCTTGTGTTTGTCTTTTCTTTTCTTTTCGTTTGTTTGAGTCTGTTGTGTCAGCTACACCTGTTGTGAGACTTTGTTGGATTTATGCATCTATGGGTTGTATTGTTACTACTAACTCTTCTCTGAGTGATCTGACAGTGCTAACATTGATGATCGCGACGATTGCTCTCTGCACTGTGGTGTCGAGCGACACCATCTTTGGTATCGCGCGTCACCACCCTTGCACTTTCGACCTAAGCTTGTTTTCTTCTGAATCTGAGCTGTGTGTTGGTCGACCTAACTGAGTAGTAAGATATTCTAACCCGTTGCATTCATCCTTCTGACTTTCTGTTTTGTCACTAACTTCAGATTTGATAACACTGGGGACAGTGTTATTCAAGTCTGGGGGAGGTAGTTGCTGACATTGTGTTTGTTTTTCTTAAGAGTCAGTTCTGTCAAATCGTTTTAGAGTCAAAACCTGTTGGAGATTATGATGTTTTTCCTGGAATTATTGTGCTGACCTTTCACCTAAGTGACCACTGCTGCAGATTCAGTCTAGATCCGACTAATGAAAAATCCAAAGGCTGACCAGTTGACTAGAGGCGTCCATGTTTCCAACAGAATCCACTAACCTGAGCTAAGTACTGAACTTCACTTTTAACTCGCTGATGTGACTAATGCCTTAGAGCTTGATTCCTCGTTCGTACTTGATCAATGAAAGCCTGTGTGAAATTTTATGTTGGTATTCCTCTCCCTTGCGACGAGCTGAGAAAAAGAAGAAAGAAAGAAAAAGGGCAAAAAGATTGAGATGATTTTCGCTTAGGAGTGAAGGGCTAGGAATGTTTCCAATGATCCCATTATTTCGCTTCTAAGTTGGAATGATCACACAAAGAAAGGAAGTGAGGGGTAGGAATGTTTCCCATGACCCCACTATTAGCTGAAAACCTTTGATACAAGGTAAGGGGACAACTCGGGGACTTGGTGGCAAACACCATCAGTACTCGCAGCTTTATCCTTATCAAGTATGCGCCTAAAAAAAAAGAGAAGAAAAAGGATGATGAATGTGCGAAAAGAATAAGTCTGGGGGAGAGAAAAAGTGCCAAAGTTTGTATGGCTGATTTGTTTGAGTACAGAATGGGAAAGAATCTAGAAGGTTCTTGGCATTGGAATCATCAGTGAGATCCAGCGATGAGGGTTTATGGACAATGTTGTGAAATTTTGGACTTAATCTGGAAAGCTGTGAATGTCTGCGGAGAAGTACATGGTGGTTCGGTTTGGAATGATGAAGCAGTAGTTAAGTTACAGGGTGATCGGTCAAAGCGATGTTCCAATGAAAGGTTGAGTCTCTGTGTTTTCAAACTTCTTTCTCTTGTTTGGTGTTCTGTTTGCTTGAGGGCAAGCAAATGCTAAGTCTGGGGGAGTTGATATATCATGGTTTTTATGGTTTTTAACCATGGTATAAGTCCTATTTATAGAGTATTTTTAGTGTCTTTCGAGTCTTTTGGAGTTTTTTCAGGTCATATGTACGTTTGGAGCTTAACTGGAGACCTTGGAGCAATTTGGAGCTTAATCAGGATCAAATTCGTCAAGTATGGATTTTGTGCTTTAGTGACGCTCGACACCATGGAGGGTGACGCGCGACACTTGTCAGAGAAATAAGGAAAAGACGATTTTGTTTCCTATTCGAAGAAGGAGTTGGGCCCAAACGTTTTCAAGGAAGCCCAAAACGTGTCTTAGAGATATATATATAGGATTTTTATTCTCTTTTTACGTTCACCTTAGATTTTTGAGAGAGAGATACTCTGAGCTTTCGGCTTTTGCGATTTCTGAGCTTAGGGAGACAAGTCTGTACTCTGTTCGTTTAGAGAGAAGATTTCGAACCCCTTTATCTATTTCGATTTATTCTATTGCTTTCTATTCATCATGTTTGTTGTTTCAATAACCATGTCTGAGTAGATCACCTGTTAGGTTTAGGGTTTAATTAGGGTTTTCTTTGAATGTTTAATTAACTTGCTAGTTAGGGTTCATATCTATTTGTTCTTCACCTTAAGTTGTTCTTAAAGCTAATTCTGGACTGATCACCTGGAACTTAGATCTTAGGTTGCTTAATTGACACGGAAGTGTAATTGAATAACTGGAAAGAACCTGAGTTGAGCAAAGTAGCTATTCGCAAAGGAATTTGGTTTAGCCGCTTTGTGAACATATCGAACTTGTGCAATTAAGGCTGGTTTAAATCTGTAGAGTTTGCAAAGGAATTTGGAATTCTAGGATTTTAACTTAGATAATTCTCACAACGGAAGTTGGTTAATTATAGTTCTGTGTTTCGAGTTCAAGAACCGTGCTTAATACCTGAACCCTGACTTGTTAAATTGATTTGCATTCATTGATCTCCTGAAAATTACCCTAGACCTATCCTTCATCACATCGAATTTAACTCTA